GATCTCTTGCTGTCTCTCTCCCTCCCTCTCTGTACTTCCTGCATGATACTCTCTCTCTCTTTCTCCCATCTCTCTCTCTGTCCCCTCCCTCTCTCTCTCCCATCTCTCTCCTCTCTCTCTCTCTCTCCCCTCTCTCTCCTCTCTCTCTCTCTCTCCCCTCTCTCCCCCCCCCCTCTCTCTCTCTCATCTCTCCTCTCTCTCCCTCTCTCTCTCTCTCTGTATATATATATATATATATATATATTTCCTGATTCTCTCTCTTCCATTTCTTTCTCTCTCCTTTCTGATTCTCTCTGTCTCGCTCTTCCATTCTCTCTCCTTTTCTTCTTCCTCTCTCTCTTTCTCTGGCCTTGATCTCTTGCTATCTCTCTCCCTCCCTCTCTGTACTTCCTGATACTCTCTCTCCCATCTCTCTCTCTCTCTCTCCTCTCTCTCCCTCTCTCTCTTTCTCTCTTGTATCTCTTTCCCTCTCATTGTTCTGTCTCTTTCTCTCTGTTCCCTCTCCCCTTTTCTCTGCCTCTTCCATAATGACAAAGTTGCAGGCTATAACTTTATAGTAATTGCATTTAGATGTTACATTAGTGGTTGTTACACTTTCTCTCTTCCATTATATAGGGTACATTATAATGTAACACATCTTGCAATCTGCGCGCATATCTCTCCCTATATATTGCGGTCTCTCTCTTTCTCTCTAGCTGTCCTGGTCTCACACTCTGCCTGTATGTAATGTTAATATTATAATACTATTAATGAGGTTACATAACTGGTTATTAGTTCCCAACCTCCCATCATACAATGTCTATTGCAATGTTTTTTGTTTTTTTTATACTTTAATACTTTTATTATACCATTTTAAAAGTTTACGGTGTTTACAGTTTTGCTACCATTGCAATTCACTGTTTACAGTGTATTGCAATGTTAGCCTCCTCCAAAGCCCCATACATACCCCTGCCCCTCCCCCTGCCACTCCCACCTCGTCCCATGTTACATTAAATGAACATCTCCCCATTAACCATCCCAAATTGATTTCCTATAGCCGCCATCCACCTTTAAATAATGTGACAACATCTCCTCTCATTTGGATATTTAAGCGGCTGCAAGTCGATGGATCTGATTAAAAACACATTAAATACACCAGAGCCACAATGAAGCAGTCGCTGACTATGCTGGCCAACACCAAATAGTCATTCGATTCCCTCCATGCAACCAGCGCCTGCCCCAGTCTCTCTCCATGCAATGCTTTCAGTGCAGCCTGTGCACTTAGAGAAGGCAGTTATTACTGTGATGGCTCTAGTGAAAATGCTCTTTTATTACTGGTTTAGAGATGTCAGCACAGGAGATGCTTGCCGACTAGATGGGGATTTAGTAGGTTTAAATGCTGATTATTCCATGGCTGGGGATGGAGTTGCCATGGAATGCTGCAGTGTCCTGGAACCTGGAAGGGGTTAATGGTGGCCAGCAGTGACAGTGTGAAGCTGTTCAGTGTTCTCATGAATACAATGTAACTGGAGACTGCTTGTGTAACACAAACCTTATAACAGGTACAACCAGTCTCTCTCTCCTAGCTTGCTGCTTTCCTCATACACACGCACACGCACACGCACACACACACACTGGCTTAACTCCATTTTTGCAGTGATGGATAGCTGCATGCTCACTATATAAAGAGTGTTATTAGCAGACTGTGACCTGCATTAAGAGTGGCAGCGCTCCTGCCACTTCAGCAGCTCATGCAAAAGATCCCTTTCCACCCCTGCGCCATGCACACCACCTAAAGAGACTTGCAGATCATCGGCAGAGCATGCTGTGTAATGTTTATATTTCAGCAATTTATTCCACTGGAAAAAAAAAAACCTTTATTTCCACAATTGCCTTGTAGATTGTGTTATACACAATGCATTTGCATCGATTCAAGCCTGTTTTCATTCCTGTGCCACAGGCCAGGCCTTAAATGACTTGGAGATGACGTTGTACAATGCCAATGTGCATGCTCAATACGACAATTATGCTTTAGAATGACATCTTTATTTATTTATTTTTTTGCTTTATTCATTTCCTTTTTTTTTTTTTCAAGGACACATGATTGCAAATCAAAGAATAAATGGTAAACATACATTCAAAACAGGAACATGATTCATTAAAGGAAAAAAAAATAGAAAATCCATTGGTTGTTAAGGGGTGTGCCTGTACCTGCAGCAAAAGCTTGTGAATTGTCAGTGTTTTTATGCTCAGCTCAGCTGAATGCCAGGCGCGCATGAAAATTGCTATCTCTTCTCTTCATGCATGGATTGGAAAGCCTGGCTTGCAGGCTGAGGTGCTGTAAGAATATTATGCATGCTTGAGGATATAAGAAACTCACTACCAAGATCAGCCCTGCTCCTGACATAAAAGAGGGCAATGCAGGAAAAATGGGCGGGGTCAGTAAGGAGGCCTTGGGGAGCAAAGATACGGTTCCACAGGGTCAAAAGGCTCCATAAGGTAAAGGGCTTGAAAGTGGCTTTTTTTTAAGGAGCAAAAACAGACACATGCAAGCTCAAGGGGAATGCCAAGAGACCACAGGACTTGGGGTATGGAGGTGCAAAGGAAATCAGATCAAGGTGACGTCTGTATATAGGTAAGTGATAGCACTGTCACAGCTAGGGGTAGATTGGGGCAAGGTGGGTCATGTCTCTATATAGATAAGGAACAGCACTGTCAATGCTAAGGGTAGATGGGAGCAAGGTGGGATGTGGAGCAGCACAGAAACATGTCTCAAATACCAGTGGTTTAGGGTGCAAAAGCTATGGGGTAGCTTTGGCGCATAAAAGGCAAGGAGCTTTGGAATAGTACTCCAGAGGTGCAAAGTTAACAAAAACAGGGTCAAGGGTTTGTAAGGTGACAAACCATCGGGGGTCACAAATTAAAGTATCTATATGAATAAGGGACAAGCCAAAAATGCTGTGGAGGAACACACACAGGAGCTGCAGGATCAAGGGTTTCGGAGGTGAAAAGCTAAAGGACAAAGCATGCAGGGTCCTGGGGAAAAAAAGAAGGGCCAGCAGAGCAGACTCAAGGATTCCTGAGGAGCAAAGCTAAGGGTCCAAAGCATGCAGTTATCTTCAGGCTCAAGGGCTTCTTTGGAGAAAAGCTAGAGGGCCAAAGCATGTAGGGATCTGGAGAAAAGTGAAGATGTTGCAGGTCTGGGGGTTTCTGAGGAGTACAGCTAAAAGGTCACAGCATGCAGAAGTTTGGAGAAAAAAGTGGGGGATACAGGTTTAGGGTTTCTGAGTAGCATGGCTAAGGAATCAGAGTTTGCAGGGGTCTGGAGAAATAAAAGGATTTGCAGGTTTAAGTGTTTCTGAGGAGCAAAGCTAAGGGTCCAATGTATGCAGGGGTCTTGAGCAATAAAAGGGTCTGCAGGTTTAAGGGTTTCTGAGTAGCATAGCTGAGGGTCCAAATCGTGCAGAGGTCTGGAGACATAAAAGGGTCTGCAGGATAAAGGGTTTCTAAGGAGCAAAGCTAAGTCACCACAACGTGTACGGGTGTGGAGAAATAAAAGGATTTTCAGGTTTAAGGGTTTCTGAGGAGCAAAGCTAAGGGTCCAAGTGTGGAGGGGTGTGGAGAAATAAAAGGATCTGCAGGTTTAAGCGTTTCTGAGGAGCAAAGCTAAGGGTCCAACGTGTGAAGGGGTCTTGAGAAATAAAAGGGTGTGCAGGGTTAAGGGTTTCTGAGAAGCAAAGATGAGGGTCCAAAGCGTGCAGGGGTCTGGAGACATAAAAGGGTCTGCAGGTTTAAGCGTTTCTGAGGAGCAAAGCTAAGAGTCCAAAGTGTGGAGGGGTGTGGAGAAATAAAGGGGTCTGCAGGTTTAAGGGTTTTTGAGGAGCAAAGATAAGTCACCACAGCATGCAGGGGTCTGGGAACAAAAGGGTCTGCAGGCTCAAGGGTTTCACTGCAGACAGAAAAAAAAAAGAAAAGGTGATTCTGGGTCAAAGGGTTCAGCAATGATGAAGACAGCAGCAAGCACACGGATCCCAGTCTGCGCAATGCATTGTAGAAGCAATCTCCCCCAGCAGTCATTTGGTCCATCAGCAGCAGCAGCAGAACATCCCCGGACAGAGTCAGCACCACGGACATCTCCCTCTCGCAGCCTCTGTGCTGACTGAGGAAGTTTTACTCCCCTTTTGGAAATTTGAAGCTCCCCAGCCCCAATCAGAAGCCCCAACGCCCCTCCTCCCCCCGGGCACCCTGTGATAGGCTGCTGCATGGAGTATGTGAGAGCATCTCTCCCTCCTCCCCTCTCCTCTCTGTCTCTCTCTGTCTCTGTTCACAGACTGCACTGGCACTAGTTAGCAGCAGCAAAGCGAGACACATCTAGGTGCTCCCACACTACTACACCAGAGGAGGAGAGCTAGAACAAGCCAAGGGGATCTATCTATGGATAATTGCAATGCATAAGGAACTCTATTAGATGCAGAGGCTGCACCAAAGGACAGAAGGATCCTAGACACCCACTTGGATCTTTATCATTTCTCTTTCCTGCAGAGCAATTTTCTGCAGATTTTTAAAAAAGAGAGAGAGAGAAAGGATCTTTAATTGAATCTTATTCAGCCTGGGGAGTGAATTGTTTGGAGAGGACTTACTGATTTCTCAAAGACTTCATCTCTTTATCTCCCCCCCTCCTGCCTCCCTAACGGAAATTGCACCATGAATGGGGGCTGCTGAGACTGGTACTTGTGTATTAATTAGCGGATGAGGGCAGGCTGAATGGCTATGGATCAGAGGGTGTGAAAGAAAAGCAATCTGGGCTTTCTTGGACTTTGTGTCATGCTACATGAGACCCGCACACACCAATGCAGCTCCGCTGAAGAAATGGACTGACTGCAAGCCATGAGGACGCGATTAAAGAGAGCTGCTCTGTGATCGCATCGTTTCCATGAGACATTGTGCATGCAGGGCAGGTGCCGGGGACCCCAGGCTGCTCTGGGCACTTCATGCTCTTTTGCCTCCCTTGCCTTTGCCTTAGTGAGGCTTCCCAAAAGGGCACAGTGAGTTACCTACATGATTTTTGCTGATTTCTGTCTCTCTCCTTCGTCCCCTTTCATTCGCCTGCCTGAGATTAATTGCCCTCTAAACCCAGCCTCCAGCTATCTAGCAGGGAGCAGGGACTATGTGGCTTTGGATAAGGAAAGACATGGATGTATTGCACATTCTGCTGTTGCTGGTTGTGTCCTGGAGCCGAACCCGGGCTCTGATCAACTTGAAATACACAGTGGATGAGGAGCAGAGAGCAGGCACCCAGATTGCCAATGTGGCCAGGGATGCCAAGGATGCTGGTTTTGTGCTAGACCCCAGGCAGCCTGCATTCAGAGTGGTTTCCAATTCTGCGCCTCACCTGGTGGACATCAATGCATCAGGGCTGCTGGTCACCAAGCAGAAGATTGACAGGGACATGTTGTGCAGGCAGATGCCCAAATGTGTCATCTCACTGGAGGTCATGTCCAACTCTATGGAGATTTGTGTTATTAAAATAGAGATTAAAGACCTCAACGACAACGCTCCCAGTTTCCCCACCGACCAGATCGACCTGGAAATCTCGGAGACGGCCAGCCCTGGCACCAGGATTCCCCTGGAGAGTGCCTACGATCCAGATTCTGGGAACTTTGGGGTCCAGTCCTATGAGATCACACCCAATGACCTGTTTGGCTTGGAGATCAAGACAAGAGGAGATGGCTCACGGTTTGCTGAGCTGGTGGTGGAGAAAAACCTGGACAGAGAGACCCAGTCTCATTACAATTACATCATCACGGCCCTAGATGGTGGGGAGCCCTCCAATTTCGGGACTGTGGAGTTAAACATCAAAGTGATAGATTCAAATGACAACAATCCAGTTTTTGAGGAGCCTGCCTATACTGTAAATGTCCCTGAGAACTCCCCTCTAAATGCCTTGGTCATCGACCTCAATGCTACTGATCCAGATGAAGGTACCAATGGCGAGATTGTGTATTCGTTTAACAGCTATGTGTCTGACAAAACTAGGGAGCTCTTTAAGATAGATCCCAAAACTGGAGTCATTACAGTCAGTGGGGCTATAGACTATGAAGAAGGGCATGTCTACGAAATTGATGTCCAAGCCAAGGATTTGGGACCCAACTCCATCCCTGCCCATTGCAAAGTGACTGTGAATGTACTGGATGTCAATGACAATGTACCTGTTATTAACCTGCTTTCTGTCAACAGTGAGGTGGTTGAAGTAAGTGAGAACGCTCCAAATGGCTATGTCATAGCTTTAGTGAGGGTCTCAGATAGGGACTCTGGTATCAATGGCAGGGTGGTCTGCAAACTCCTAGGCAATGTCCCCTTCAGGCTTCAGGAATATGAAAGCTTCTCCACCATTTTGGTAGATGGGAGGTTGGACAGGGAACAGAGGGACCAGTACAATTTGACCATCCAGGCCAAAGACAGTGGCAACCCATCACTCCAGTCCACCAAGTCCTTCACGGTCAGAATCACAGATGAGAATGACAACCATCCCCATTTCTCCAAAACCTTCTACCAGACCATTGTCTCTGAAAATAATACTCCAGGGGCGTACTTACTTTCTGTTTCAGCCAGGGACCCTGATTTGGGATTAAATGGCAGTGTGTCCTATCAACTGGTGCCATCTCAAGTGAGGGACATGCCGGTTTTCACCTATGTTTCTATCAACCCAACCACAGGAGATATCTATGCTCTCAGATCCTTCAACCACGAGCAGACCAAGGCTTTTGAATTTAAGATTTCGGCCAAGGATGGTGGTACTCCACCACTGCAGAGTAACGTCACGGTTAGGGTGATTGTGGTGGATGTCAATGACAATACACCTGTGATTACCGCTCCACCCTTAGTCAATGGTACCTCAGAGGTCTACATCCCCAGAAACGCAGGGGTAGGCTACCTTGTGACTGTGGTTAAGGCTGACGACTATGACGAAGGGGAGAACGGCAGGTTGTCCTATGAGATTACAGAAGGGGACAGGGGCTTCTTCGAGATCGACCAGATCAATGGGGAGATTAGGACCACCAGGACTTTTGGGGAAAACTCCAAGACAACTTATGAACTGATTGTGGCAGCACAGGATCATGGGAAGCCTTCTCTCTCAGCCTCCGCTTTGATTCTGATCTACCTGTCCCCAGCCCTGGATGCTCAGGAATCTATCGGATCTGTTAACCTGTCTCTGATTTTTATCATTGCCTTGGGATCTATTGCTGCCATCCTTTTTGTGACCATGATCTTTGTGGCCGTCAAATGCAAGAGGGACAACAAGGAAATTAGAACCTACAACTGCAGGTAAGGGGTCCATCGATGTGTTGATTAACCTAACTGGGCTCTATTGTATTCAAAATATATACGTATAATATACATGTTACAGCCAAAGGCAATGTTTTATTTATTGCGTGTTCAACTGCAACAGCCATTCTATGAACGGAGAGACAACGTTTGCTCTGTGTTTCCTTGCTACAAGTGTAGGATTCCACCTGCTGCAGACAGCAAAGCTCTTTAAGGAAACCATTCTGTTGTCTTGCAGTAATTTTGTACCGGTTACGGATAGGTTGGCGCTGAAGTAGGGAAAAAATAAATAAAATAAAAAATAAAATTGCAGGTGTCTACACTCTGCAGCAACAAATTCTTATTAGCGTACTGCCCGTATTAACTGACGCCAAGGCGGCTACAAAAACAAAATCGCAGTGTCCATTTTCCGCCACTAGGTGGCACTGTATGCCCAAGGAAAGCACATTTTCAGTTCCAGCTAAGTAGATAGACCGGACTTGAATCTCAGTTGGAATTTGAAAGAATTAAATGCAAACATAATGATTTTTACATTTCAATGCATGTCTGTAGAGGTGATTACATTCAATTCAGCCCCCTTTTCTCTTAGCACTGTCTCCTTCTGCAAGCCTCCTGTAAATGGAAGCATAAAAATGGTGGTATAAAAAAAAAAAAGAGAAAAAAAAAGCAGTTTAGGACTAGATTAATTATTGATTCGCCCTTCTTATCAGCTTATGTGAGATTTGCAAGCACTTACTTATATCAGTAACGAATTGCAAGTGCAGCGGCCCTGCATAATGAAAACATATTTGTTGCAGGCAGCGGACTGCAATTTGCCCAAACATGTTTGCATCGCAACAACCCCATTTTTTTTTTGGTGTGCGGCTTTGAGTACAAGGCAATAATACGAGTATTGTTTCCTTTTGCGCTATTGTCCGCACCACACACACACACACACACACACACAGAGAGAGAAAAAAAACTTTGCTTGACAAATGCTAACCCCGCATGAATATCAATTAGGTTGCCCTGTAGCCAAGCTGCAGTGTTTTATACAGTTATAATCTTGTTACCGCTACAGTGATACTGCCTCTTCTTATATTCATCACACTGAGCTCTTCCAAGGTGTGAGGAGCACGAAAACCATCTTATGCCTGTGCCTGACAAAAAGCACATCTGCTCAATCAATATTCTTTTTTTGTTTTTTATAGAATTGCACCAACAAGGTAACATTGTGCCACCAGCAATTTTTTTTGCATGAACACATCCTAGATTCTTTCTCTTTAGACTGTGTTGTCGAGTGCTTCATCCCCAAGCTGTTATGGTACTACAAGTCCCAGCGCCTTTTGCAGCATTGTGCACCCAGGCTGAACCGCGACGGCGTGCCTATGTGTTTAAATAAAAAAAAAAAACATGTGTATACAGCATATAAATATATTGCAATGCCTGTTTTGCAAGCTGAAAGACCCCCCCACCCCCCTTTTTTTTCTCCTTCCCTTTCTGCGCAGCCAACCATTGACAAACTACAAATTCCACCCATCACCTGCATGCTGGGACAGCGGGACTTGTAGTTCTACCATAGCTGGAGTACCACTGTTTGCTGCATGCAATCTGTTTACTAATATACTTCATCCATAGGGTCCTTATGGCACTCCGGGTTGCCGGTTCCTGTACCATCTACCATCACAGATTGTCCTTAGAATCTTGTTATGACAAACAATTGTGTGCCATTGTGTGTAGTACTGATGCTTGGAACTGTGTCAGCCAATTACATAGCCAGATGCAGAAATGTAAAGGTTAAGAAGCACTTTTGTTTTTTTTTTAATTTAAAAGCATTTTGGAGGAATCAGTCAACCCTGCCAGGAAGAGTTTATTGTAGCAGCTACCGTATCTAGTTGCCTAAAATGCAGGCTGATGCACCATGGCAAGGAAATGGCATGTACTAAGAGCTGACCATTAACACTGTTGCATTAGCCAGACACAGGGATGCAAGGGTTAACAGTGATTTTGTTATGTTTATCTTGCATGGGAGCTACCTTTGTGTGTGTGTCAGCAACAACTCCCATTGCTGTTTAGCTGCCCTTACAATTGTTTATTTTGGGTTGTGTTATTGCTTTTTTTTTGTTTTTTTTGTGGTGTGGGGGGGGGGGGGGGGCATTTTAATCTCCTCCTTTTTGGTTAAAAGGTATGAATTCATTGATTAATTGATTGCAATACATTGGTCCAGTGGCATCCAAGGGGTTATGTGCATCGTAGATGTAAAGGAAGTCCGGGTGGATTGCTATGGATGAAGTCATTGAATAAAATTCCCTTTCACCCCACACTGGTGCAGGCATCTGCCCCCCGTCCGCACACTGCAGAGACCCGCCGCTGATGTATTGTGTCACTGGTGCAGAGAGAGAGAGCTGCGATCTGTCAGCACCAAGGAACCTCGGGCACAGGACATCGCTATGTTTTCTTATGCCCAACTGGCGGCTGTATGGAAGTGGCACTGCATGCATGGGCAGCTCACACTCAGCTCTACCTTCTCCTTCCTCCTGCGATATAAAATATCCTAAATTATTCAAGCGGAAGGAGAATATGTAAAAAAAAAAAGGAGTGGAGGGGAGTGTCTGAGGTTCCAGCCCGGAGATTTGATTCCGTGCCTTTTTATTTCTGTCATGATGAAAATGTCATTGAGGCTAAAATATTATTCTGAGCCGTATTTTTTAGTTTTATGTGACATTTCCAATTGCAGATCATGGTCCCCATTTATTACCGTCACTTAGGTCAGTTTTAGGCAGTGGCGTGCCGCAGACGAAATGTCACGTCCAGGTTAACCCTTCCCGGGCTCTGAACGCCGAGCCTCATTGGGGGGGAGTCCAGTATAGATCAATATAATAAGATTAATGAGCATTGCTATTAGATCCCTATGGTTCCTTTCTAGGGTGTCCATGTCCAGGTTAACCCATCCTTGGCTTTAGGCACTAAGCCTCACTTGAGGGCTATTACCATTATTTAGGTCAGTTTTTGGCAGTGGCGTTCCTCAGACTTAATGTCATGTCCAGGTTAACCCTTCCATGAGTCTAAGCACTAAGCCTCACTTAGGGGGGGGGGGGGATCTCGTACACATGAACAACACAATGGGGTGGAGAAGAAGACTGCTATCAGATTCTTAAGGATCCTTTCTAGGGTGGTCATGATGACCAGGGTAACCCTTCCCTGGCTCCGAGTACTAAGCCTCACTTGAGGGGGGGATCTGCTATAGATGAATGTAATGGGATTGACGAAGATTGCTTTCAGATCCTTATGGATCCTTTCTAGGGTGGCCATGACCATGGTAACCCTTCCCTTCCTCT